TGTTGGAATTTTAATTAGAAAAACTTTAATATCCTATCTAATACTTTCTGAATTAGTTTGTACTACCCAAGCACTATATAATAATATAACTAAGTGATGGCACTAACTTAAAATTCCTCTGCTGCTCTGAATGAGGGAATAATTTATCATGTTTTCCTTTTAGCTGACACTAAGTAATTAGCTTGCTACTGTAAGCACAAACTGAAAGGAGCTGTGGGTGCTTTCAAAATAATCTTTAGTAATAACAATCTGGAGAAATTTAATTTTACTTATTCAAATTCCACATGTCTATGAGGACTGACAATAACTTCACTGAGTTATTAGTATGGGTCAAGAAGCTTTAAGGACTATATAAGCATTCTGTTAATTCTCATAATAGGATATGTAAGTATCATTACTCCTCATCTATAGATGAGGAAATGAGGCTTCATGAGGTTAAATAACTTGGTCAAGAGCATGGAGGTGGAAGGGACTAGAGTTCCATTTTCAACCCAGTTCTACCACACTCTAAAACCTGGGCATTTCACCAATTAGCCCAAAATGCTGGAATTTATGGACTATCTCCATTAGAATTCTAAGGGACCTTGTCAAAAGCTCATATTACTAGTAAGTTACATTCTTTGGGTAAGATCCATAAATCTCAATTTTTTTCTGCTTTCTCAGTTCATTCTGTTATCTATTGGAATTAGAGAAACAGCATACTCTACTAGGGCCATATAGAGTACACACTATATTAGCACCTGGGAGTAATTTTTAAAATTATGACAGTAGGAGAGGATTCAACAAAGCTACTACACAGGTTGCCATCAAAAATCATAATAGAAACAGAACTTCTGGCAATTTTTTATTATGGTTTACTGCAGGGAAAATAACTTAAAAATTCCAAATTTCATTCTGTTTATTTTGGTCAGAAAAAGGTGAAATTAACTTGCTATTTTCCATCATTTATTCTGCAAATATTCTACTTGTTAAGTAGGGATTTAGTCAATGACAGGGTAATCTTGAAGGGAAAAAAGGGGAGGGAGTGACAACTTCAATCATATAATTATTTAATTTTAAAATATTAACTTCCAATATGCAGCTTGAAATCTGCAACCCATGTTTACATACTTTTAAAATCTTCTAATATTTATATAAACTCAAGTATGGTCCTCTAGGAAAGGACTGACCTAGCAGTAAAGACCATGGTTCCAGACCAGGATCAGCCAGGCTCTGCTGCTTACTAGCTATATAGCTTCAGAAGCTTCCAAACTTTCTATCTCTGCATCCATAAAAAGGGATGACAACACTTCATTGACTGTTTTCTCCAATCCTCTTCCCTCTCATCACCTCCCAATCATTCTATGGAACTCAAGAACCCAGCACCTTCTAAGAGACTACTGAGACTAAAACCACCACGTTCTGCCTTATTTCCTCTAGCCATGGCCAGAAGTCATCAATCACCATGCACACTCACTCCCATAATGCTCTGGGCTGCCCTTAGCTGATACGCATGCCATCTCTTCCCCCACAGCTACTACCCACCAGAAGGACATTCAAATGACCTCCCTTATATCTGTGTCCTCCTCTCCTGCACTATTTAAACCTTGACTGCTCTTGGGGACACCAAACTTGCTGAAACTCTCAAGTGAAGATCATTTTCTCCATCACGCTTCCTCTACCTCAGATCAGTCTGCCACTCCATTCCAATCCTGGTATCATCGCTTCATTCAACAAATGTCTTATCCATCTTTGGTCTTTGCATGTGCTATTTATTCTCTTTCTAGTCTTTGTGTAACTAATTCCTCCTTTAGGTCTTGAGTGAAATTGAACTTTCACAGAAAAATGTTCTTTGATCCCACAAACTTAAGTAATGTTGCCTCTGTTCTCTGTCCAAAGCACCCTGCTCCTTTTCTTCACAGTATTCGACTATTTTCCTATTTCAAGTTGTGTCTCCACATGATTTTTGAATTTGCAAATATTTGTCTGTATCACTGGGCCATTAATTCTTCATACCATCCTACAAAGCACACCTGTTTTGTTCGCCTCTGTGTTTTCCCAGGGCATACAATACCTCTGGTACATAGTGGCATTACCAGATAAAGGAATATTAAACAAATTGGGCACTTCCCATTTCCCTTCTGAGAGGGATCAGAGAAATGCAAATAAAGGGTAACCAAACAGCTGAGGACACAGCTGGTCTGCAGTAGACATCTCTTCCAGGCTAGCCTGGGAAAGTGATCAAGCTGGGCACAAAAGGAAAAGCAGTACCCGATGATTAGCCAGTTGGAAGTGCTTCTCTAGTCTCAGTTCTGCCATGGACAACCATACAAATCGGGAATATATGTCACCTTTTATAATAATCTCTACTTCCTATTCCAAAGAATTGAATGAGGTTTTTCTGAAACTTTAGGAAAAACTCCAAATTAATTTCCTCTGCAGCCTTATACTAAGTTAGGAGCTTCATGTACACATGCACACACGCACAAGAACACGGCACACACATCTACCTTTCTTAATTCTACTGAACTTCAAAATGACTTGAGTATTAATAACAGACCGTACTGGCCTATTCAAAAGTCTAGTATACACAGAGGGAAATGGAAATATTTCCTGAGACATACAGAATTCCCCATCTCGTCTTTTTCCCCCATTTTCTTAAGTGAGGTATAATTCACAAGCCATAAGTTCACCCTTTTGTAGTATATAACTCAGTGCTTTGCTCAAAGTTGTGCAACTATTCTCACTAATTCCAGAACATTCTCATCACCTCCTCGCCCACCCCCCCCCAAAAAAAAACTCATCCTCATTAGCAATCATTTATCTGTTCTTTGCTCCCCAGCCCCTGGCAACTACTAATGTACTATCTCTATGAATTTTCCAGTCTTTTTTTACATTCATGAAAGTGAAACAAAGATAAAATGACCTGCACAGTTGCTCTCACAGTTGCTGCGTGAGAGCAAGATTATAACACACGTGTTTACAGTGAATGTTTAACTGTATGAGAAACAAGTGAAGATGTTTAACTATACATATCCTAAATGTGACTATGAAATATCTGCTGTATAAAGCAGAGTCCTTACAATAGTGATTTTCAGGCTGTGTGTTGGGCCAAGGAGAGGGAGGGGTGTAGGATGTCAGGCAGAAATCACTTAGGAGGAAGAGAGAAGCTACCAGCAAATAGCATTTAGGGACAGGGTGGTTGATACAAAAGGTTTAGGGAAATGTGAGATCATGTAGTTTATAGGGCATACAGGGTTCTTTTCAGTCCAGGGTTTTGAAATTGTTTTTAATATGACCAGGGAGACCCACTTGCTTCCATTTATAGTGCACCCAATGGATCCCAGAGATTCCTGATCATTTCCATTTCGCTTATGAGTAGTTAATATATTATTGGTGTTAACACCACTTCAGAAAACTTGCTGCATTATGACATCTGGCAAAATAATGTAGGCACTAACTTTCTGTTAGTCCCACTGTCTGCATTTGCACGTAAGTAAAAGAATTACAAGCTTAACTTACTTCTGTTACCATCAGTAAATGTTACCATCAATAAATCACAGAAACATCACAATCCATTTGCAAAAATAATTAGGTACACATTTTATTTTATCTCTTAATCAGCATTGCAAATGCCGTTCACAAAAGGAAAAAGAATGAAAACCACTCATCACAGGAAAAAACTCATCATTGAAAAGATGAATTCTGAACTTTAACAATCTCTGCACTCATTTAAAAATATTAGTAAAACAGCAATTCAAGAAAACAAATCAAAATGAGTATTTTATTAAAATCAAGACTCTAAATCAACGGAGACTGGATAACTTAGAAAATAACCTCCTGTCTTCAACCTAGAAATGTTTGATTCACCACCTATGATAATAAATATCCTCAGGAGCCTAGAGCTGGCAGGTAAACAAGTTTTCTTTTACAAACAAAGTCATTTTGAGTGACAGAAATTCTGCAGATGACTACATTATGAATTTTTAAATGACTGCTAAAAATGCCTATTTAGATCGTCAATCTATTCATAGAATTGAACACTAAATGACACAGCAACCATTAAGAGTTGAAACTTCTTGTCTAGCAAATATTTTATTACACTGTTATTAACCAAAGGTTCAACTCTTAATTGTCTACAGCAAAAGAGAGCGTTGGTACAAATAAATTAGAATTAGGGACTCGAAGTCTTTTATTTTTAGTTTTACAGTGTTTGTGGAATTGGAAATGCCCACATATGAAAATGTGAAAGTCTTATTCTTCTGTTACTTATAAAATTGTGAGGAATGAAAGCCCACTTGGAATTACTGATGTAATAAAGCACTAGTTTCATTCCAAAAAGATGGATGGGCCATACACTGCAATTTAGGCAAAAGGTAAATAGAGAATTAAGTGTTTTACTATTAAATGCTCCCTTTCCCTGTTGACAGGAATAGCACAATGCTAGAGTAAAATTAATTCCAATAAGTACTTCCTGAATCTATCAACTTTAATTTTCCCATTTGATTAGAGGGCTAACAACAATAACAAAAAATAAATAACAAAGACATGGTGATTAAAAAAAAAAAAGGCAGACAGGCAAGGGCAGAGGTTTAGGTGACTATCCATTACCAACCAAGCCTTTTGCAAAATTCAGAGCATTATTATAAAACCTTCCATTACACCCAGAGCCACATAAATGGCACACAGAACCTTAGACAATTCTTTGATAAATTTTAAGGTTACGAGATAACCTACAGAACTATTAACACATCATTTTCATTTTAAAAAGGAAAAAAGAATGTAGTCAAGATAATTAGCAATTTTTCTTTTTGAAATGGTGATACTAAAATTTTTTCTTAAATTCAGATTTTACAAATTTCCAAAGTCTCCAAGCCATCAAGAAGACACCAAAAACAACTTTCCTTATGAGTACTGTGAACTAATTCTTTATGAAGTGTGCACGTTTCACAAATCCAGACGAATGTGAACTTAGATTTCATTTTAAATTCAGCCTGTGACTTCTTGATTTAACACTGGGGAAAAAAAAAAAACAGTAAAAATATTTTTATTGAAATGTTTACTTCTCAAATAATTGAGTTTGGGAAATACTTATATCCTTAGCCCAAAAAATTACTTTTAAAGTCTGAAAGATTAAAAACAAAATTGGTTCAACAATTATCAAAATGAAATGACTATAAATATGATCTCAAGAACTTTTCCAGTCAATCCAAAATAAATCACTTCAATTGAGCTCAGCTCACTTAATTTTTAAAACCATTTTTTCCAGTTTCATAACTGGACTGGATGTTGCTCAACAACATTACCAACGTTAAAAGCGAATAGATATAAAAGTTTTCAAAGAATTGCACAGTTACCGAAGCTGATAAGGGTATAATGTACAATCATTATATTTCAGAGCTTGAAGAGAACTTTAAGACCTATTCCAGCAATCACATCTTACAGACGAGGAACCTAAGGCGCAAACTGAGTCAGCTGGTCAAATGCATTGACCAATGTCACATTCCTTGGGCTTAGCCATTCATTCATTCAGTCATTCACTCACCCACTTGCTGAAAGCTGTCCAATGCCCAGCTTGGTGCTAGGTGCTGAAAACAAACTAGGAGGCAGCATTCACCACTTTGCCAAGGCAGTCTTTTTTTCCTTGTCTAAAGACAAATCCTTAAATGCCCTATTCAGCAAGAGCTCCTAGAAGAGTTCTCCAGCCTCCATAGAGGCAGGCCCACTTTCAGTTTTACACATTTTAGTAAACACAGTTGGGTTTACTTCAGAGAGGCCTCAATTGTGTTTACTTTAAGTGATTAAGCACTAACAAAGGGAAGTATAGTATTCTGAATGAGTCCCTCTCCACTACATTCATCACTTAAGGAAGTGCAATCAGAAAATGCCCTAGACACACAAACAAGTTCACAGAGAGGACAGCCTACAAAATCAGAGGGATTTGAGGTATCAACAAGATCAGTTAAGTCTAACAGCTCAAGTTTACAAAGTGTGGAATGTAAATATCTCCCCAGTTCATTCAGGTGTGGGTAAATTTTCTGAGATGTCTATAAGTTAAAAAAAAAAACCTTGAAATGCACATTCAAACTTAATACCCTCTACCAATGACACAAATATCCAGCGCTTTCTCCTTAAGATCAACTTTTCTTGATTTTGATTTGACTAAAGGAAAATTAGAATTAAAAAATTAACAAAACCTAAAGTTTAATGTGCTGGCAAAAAGAAATTCAGATTCTATGTACAATTAAACACCAATAGCTCAAACTGCACAGTTACGAGTTTTGTCGAAAAAACGGGATGTGCAGTGAACTTACCCTTGAACATAAACCATCCCTCATTCTGCCTGGACTTTTACATTCTTTAACACCAAGTCTGGCTACTAAACTCTTTTGTAATATCAATTCACAGTCAACCTCTTTAAAGAGAAAAGATCCTACTAACAATGCTCTTAAATAAAACAATCCATATGTAAGGCACTTTGAAATATTTAACAGCAGCTCTAGGGGCACCCACTGTCATTGTTCTAGACCCAACTGAAACACAGCTTTGACAGAGCTCTCACAGATGACCACTGGGTGATTTCTGAGACAATACAATCTTCACAGAGGCTCCTCCGTGGTCCTGATGCTACTGTTAGCTCAGGACGAAAGTGCTGTTGTGCTCTTCTATTTCTCGAAGCTCCAGATTTGATTTTTATCTCCAGCAACACAAGTTCTCATCTGAACATCAGGTCGGCCCTCAGGAGTCCGATAAGCACTAAGACACAGTCCTGAGTGTGGATGAAAAATGGTTCCATCGTCTTTAAAATGCCAAATGATGTTTGCTGGAACAGAGACCCCATCTTTGGGACAAGTTTGCATTCCTATATGGTTTTTTTTCTGAGGGACCTCTGCACATAACTCTGTCACAGAATTAAACCTTATCTCCTTGTTTGAAGTATATTCAAAGAATTGATTGCCTCCTTGACCATGGCATCCAAACAGTGAAAGGTTAGCACCTGTGGGGTTGCTGTCAGGAGAGTTATAATCCAAGCATTCAGAAGAAATCCCTAGACTACGAATAGCCCCGTGCCAGCCTGGTCTGTCCTCTGGCACATGTAAAGTAGAAAACACATTTTTCAAATACCAGTCAAAGTTCTTGCAACCCAGACGTTCTCGGAGTAATTTTCTTTCAGAAATATCGCCATAATCTTCTTTCCTTGCTGGAGGGTTTCGATTATAGAAATGTTCTTTGTACTCGTCCATCCATACTTCTGCTGCTCGCGCAGTATTCTGCAGGAAATTGGGCCGAGCATAAGGCGCCCGCTTGGGAAATACGTGGCCCACGTGGGAACACGGGTGGATCTCCAATTTGCCACCACATTGCCAAACCCTGAAAGAAAGCTCAAGGTTTTCACCTCCCCAAACTTCCATGCCAGTGTCATAAGTTCCAAGGTAGTGAAAATATTTTTTGCTGACAGCAAACAGTCCTCCTGCCATGGTAGGTGAACTGATTGGGTCAATTCTTGATTTCCGTCTGTCCTTTTCTTCTTTGGGGACAGAATGCCACTGGAATGTTAAGCGCCAATCAAACCCACCAATCATGGGCTCTCCAGTCTGCATATAGAATTCAAAAGTATTCCAATCAATGGTGTCGATAACAGGACAAACAATGGCTGTTTCATCCTCACCAATCCTGTGCAAAAGAGGTTCCAACCAACCAGCATTACACTCACAGTGACAATCCAGGAAAGTGAGGACATCCCCAGTGGCAAAAGTGGCTCCAATCAGACGGGCCCTAACCAGCCCTTCCCGCTTATTTGTTCTTATCAAGCGGACTCTCTGGAGATTACTGATGTAAGTTTCAAGCTGTGTCTTCAAATAAACTCTGTCACTTAAGTCATCAACCAAGATGATTTCCTTCAAAAGGACCGCAGGAGAAGTTTCCAAAACACTGTGGACCGTGCGGAGCAAAGTTGACCAGGCTTCATTATAGAAAGCAATGATAACAGAGGTGGTGGGAAGTTTCCTATAGTTGAACTTCTGGGATTTACACTCATACATTCTTTTATCTTGTATATGGCGGTGCAGGGAAATCCTGTCACTGAGGTATATATTGATAGCATATCTCTCAATCAGTTCTTCTTGCTGCTTCAGCTCACCCTCGCTGAGCTCGAGTTTGCTGGCTTTCCCCCACTCCCCAAGTGCCCAGGAGTCTGCAGGGGGTTTTGCATAGAGAGGTCGAGACAAATCCTCCGCGTATTCCTCCGGGTCTGAGAGCTGTCTTAGCCCCCGCTCCCTGGCAACGCCAGCTCCTGAGGAGGCATGGAAAGTGGAGACCGAGCGTTCCACCAGGATATAGGCCACTGTTAAAAGCGCCAGCAGCAGGCAGCTTTTGCCTGCCCAGGTCCACCTCACGGCCATCCGGATCCTCATGGCTAGGGCGCAGACGCAGCCACCGGAGTCACCAAGCAGGGGAAGGGCTGCGAGCCCCGCAGCTTAGGTTTCTGGTTCAAGCAGAGGCGAACTTCCCAGCAGATCTCTCCTTTCCTGCGGGCGCTCTGCTCCTTTCCAGCCACAGCGTCCACTACGGGGTCACCTGCGACCTCTAAGTCCTCGGCCTCCGGCACAGACCCTATGGCTCTCTGTCCACTTCCTCCAGCTAGTCTCACAACTTTTCACAAACTCTGCAGCCAACACCCCACCCTCCCAGGGAGGAGGGCTAGCTCCGCCCATTCTCACTCACCCCTCCTGGTGGTTAGCTCGCGAAAGTGGCCTTCCAGTTCCGAACCTAAGCGCTACAATGCCCGGCCGGGTTAAGCACAGGTCCGGCGTGAACTAGGCGCCACGGCTCGGGTCCACTCTGCTTTCCATTGCGCCCCGCCACGCTGGGCTCCCAAAGTCTCCAGCCGCCCCTGACCCCCCGCACACAGGTCTCCAAGTATTCTCGCGGCGCCCGGTGTGGGCATCCCGGGCTGAGCTTTCCCGACCAGTTACGCGTTTGCTTTGAACAAAAGAAAGAGAATAAAACTTACCAAGTTGTTTGCCATTGGGACTGAAGTCCACGGAGGTGATCGCAGCTTTGTGGCCCTTAAAATAACGTTCCAGAACCGGATCCTCCTGGGAAGGAAAGTTGTCAAGTTTGGAAAGCAGGTGCAGTCCTCTAATTCGGGGGTACAGGGATCGGCGCTGTCTCCCGGCCGGAGTCCGGCCTGGGAACCCCCGCCTGGGCTGCGCGTCTGCCGGGCGGGAGGGCAGTGCCTGGGCGCGCGCGGGCGCTCGCAGGGGGAGTCGCCACGCGCCCACTTTTACGCGCAGCGAGGCCAGACGCCTCCATCGCGTGGCCCAGAATCGAGGCCCGGGAGGGAGCCCCCCGCGACAGCTGGTTTGAAATGCACATCCCCGGGACGCGCCCCCTGGGACGAGCGAGCGGCAGGCTTGCACCTGCCTCCCAGGTGATTCTGACGCAGGCGCTCCACGGAACCCCTCCGAGAATTCTGGGGACCGTGGGGTTGCTCGGCTCCGACCCGAGCTCCGCGATGCGACAGGGGCGCCCGGACGCCCGGCCAAGGCTCGGCGCTGCAGACACCCCATTAGCTGAGGGTGAGAGGCGGGCGCCGGGGGCGGAGGAACAGCCCCTCAGGACCCAGCTTGGACACCTGCCTCCACCTCTCCCAGGTGCGGGAGCAGCCCCGACTTGGCCCCGCAACCTTTGGGACTGGCTCCGGGGAGCGCCCCCCAGCCCGTCCTTACCGGGGCGGAGGCCATGGGGGAAGCGGTCGGCGCCGGGCTTCAGCCAGTGGAGGGGGTCGGGGGAAGGGAGGGGGCTGGGGAGGGGGGGACCGTGCGGCTCCCGGAACGGTCTGCCTAGAGCGGCGGCGCCTCCCGGTCACTACAACAACGGCGGCCCAGTCAAACCCCGCGTTCCAGGCGTGGCCAGCCGAGCCCCGAGTTCCGCCGGCACCCGGAAGAGCCCCGCCTCGGTCGCCTGGCCGGTGGGACTCCCCGGGATCAGGTGTGACCAAAATTGGCGTTAACTAACACAGGTGCTCCCCCAGGCTCGACGCCAGAAGAAGGGTTGTGACTGAGGGGGGAATAAGACCGAGGGGAGAGGGAGGGAGGGAGTGTGTGATCGATGCAATCAGAGTTCGATTACAAGTTAAAGAGACAGCGCCCTTTGCGAATTTCAAGCCGGCCCGCCAGCGCTAGTTTGGTTGGGGTTGGGGGTGCTTTGAGCTAAAGTGGGGCGATTTGCTAGTTACTGATATACGCAAAGGAACTAAACTCTTGAAGGGCATTGTTGGATATGTTTAGGCACTGTTTTTCACATAATGCCCTGCATGATGGAATGATGGATGAACGTGATGAATGAATGTTGGGCTCTGCTTTCTTTTCTTTTTTAAAAAAAGATTTATGTGGTATATATACACAATGGAATGCTATTCTGCAATCAAAAATATAAACTCGTGCCATTTGCAGCAACATGGATGGAGCTGAAGGGATTGTGCTCAGTGAAATAAGTCAGAAGAAAAAAGAAAAATATCGGTGGTTTCACTTAAAGGAGGAATATAGGAGAACCAAACAAAGAATAAAAAAAAAATACAACATTTGCAGGCAAGCTATCGATCTGAGGCATATAGCAGTGAAGGGAGGGAGATGTGGTGGTGTGAGATTTATGGGGACCACATGTGAGGGGGGAAATCAAATACTGTACCAAAATGAACAACAATGTAAGAATTTTTTTTTAAGTTCAATCAATTAATAAATTTAAAAAAAAAAAGATTTATTTATTCATGATACTAGAACTGGGGTACAGGCCGGAGATGTGGGGGGTGAGAGGATGCACCAGAGACAGAGTGGGGAGCAGAACAGGCAGATTGACTGAAATACACTGCTGAGGGGAGCAGCAGGTGAGTCAGGAGAGGTCTGCTGCGCCATGTGGGTTGCTCCCTGACTGGGGCTCGAACTCGTGCTGCAGAGGCTGCAGGGACAGCTTCATAGGATGCATCTTAACCTCTTGTACCACGGGGAGGTCTGAGCTCTACTTTCTGTTTTCATTTGCGAAAGCTGGCGCAGCCAATATACAGTAGCATATTTAAACTCGCCAAGATTTAGAAAGAAACTTTTTTGCTTTGTTTAAAATATCAGGAATAAAATATTAGGCAACATAGTATCGATGACCATTTCTGCAGTACACTTACCATTTGCACTTCAGCAACTTCACGGAAGTTGGTAGAGTTACAAAACGTTACTGTGGGTCTCCTGGGTGGCACAGCGGTTGAGTGCTGGGTTGTGAAGCTGCCAGCAGCCTCTGCAGCGCCAGTTCCATCCCCGGCCACCGGGTGAGGGTCCCACATGGCGCGCAAACCTCTCCTGCCGCCCGCTGCTCCCCTCAGCAGTGTACTTCGGTCCTTCTGCCTGCTCTGCTCCCCGCTCTGGCTCTGGTGAATTCTCTCACCCTCCCGCGCTTCTGACTGTACCCAGTGCTTGTATAAATAAATAAATCTTTAAACAAACAAACAAAAAACAAACAAACAAAAAAAACGTTACTGTAGGGTAAGGAAAAATGTCAGGCTTTTCTGCCCTCCCGCCATCAGGATAGATGATGGATCCTTGTGGTCCTGAATGCATGCCTGATGGTGGGCACCTGGAATAGGGTGTGGGCATAGGTAGAAGGGATTCACCTGGGCTAAGACTGGGCTTTTAAGGTCGGCATCATGGGGACACCAGCAGAAGCCAAGAAGCCGAGAATAAACAGAAGCCGAGAGAGAAGCAGAGAAGACCGGAGAGCCCAGATAGAGTGAAGACTTGCTGGGGGCTGGGAGGCCTGCCAGCCTCCCTGGCCCCCAGCACCCTTGCCTGCCGTGTACCTGGTAATCCCAATAAAAGATCTGCAAAAGCCACTGAGGACTCTGACTCCTCCTTTACCCAGTCTGCTGGATCCTAGACAACCTGCACTATGTATTCCTGCCCTTTCAGTTACCAATGCTAACAAACTATATACTTGATTCTGGGGTATTTTACATGTAATTCTCTGAGGATCACACACAGACTACTCTTCTCTTTCCAAGTCTGTATCCTTTTTTACCCTGCCTAAAGCATGAAGGACTCAAATGAATCTTACATATAGAATAAAGATGTTTGGCAGCAGAGGATGGCTTAACAGCCCTAGCCCCTAAGAAACAGCTATGCAAATAAAAGGTATATGACACACTTTAATTACATGTTCTCTAAATCGTCTAATAATTAAATTTAGTTTTAATGCATACTGTACAAAAGAAGGAAGCAGATGGGAAATACAGGATTTCAGTATTCATTTAAATCAAGTATACGACTGTTGAATATATGCTACATGTTTGGCTCTAAGGAATACGAATGTGACATATTTTCCCTTCCCTCAAGAACTCAAAAATTTAGGCTTCTGAGTCTCATTTCAGCATGCATAATAATGATTTAGGGAACTCCATTCTCTCAGGTGCTGATAAAACATCTATGGGGTGAAATCCAGGGTCCTATTGATTATTGTGGGTCTGTTAGACTTAAGCGTCCTGTTCAGCCACCATTATGGTTACCTGCAGTCCTGCATTCCTATACAAAGGTCGAACTGTCCAGTCACAGTCAAATGAGCCAAACCTTACAAGGTGCCTTTCTATCAATCAAGAGCAGAAAGCTTGATCACTCTGGGAAGGTGTAAGGGCAGGACAGGGGCACAGTGCAGGTTTTCTGATCCCATGCAGATCGGGTAAAGGAGGAGTCGGAGTCCTCAGAGGTTTTGCAGGTCTTTTATTGGGGTTCAGCGGGGATATGGCAGGCAGGGGTGCTGGCTGGGGGCTGGGAGGCCTGTCTTCACTCTATCTGGACTCTCTGGCGTTCGTTCTGCTGCTTCTCGGCTTCTTTCGGCTTCTGCTTCGGCTTGTGCTGCTGCTTTCTGCTGCTGCTGCTGCTGCTGGCGTCCCCATGATGCCACCCTTAAAAGCACAGTCTTAGCTCAGCTGAATCCCATCTACCTGTGCCCACACCCTATTCCAGGTGCCCGCCATCAGGCATGCATTCAGGACAAGGATCCATCATCTATCCTGATGGCAGAAGGGCAGAAAAGCCTGACATTTTCTTTACCCTACAGAAGGGTATGCATCAAGAGGTATGACTGGGAACACCCAGGGGTGCTGAGAACAGACGCATAAACTTACTCCTGACTCATACATCATGAGGTGTGACCAGGAACACCGGGGGGGGAGATCCCGAGGACCGATGTATGACAAGGGACCCCAGAAGCTGATCAGTGGAATGCCTTGTTGATAAGATCAGGACCATGGCCGGGGGTCTGGGGTCTAGTTTCGATTATAACACTTGGTCATCAAGCTGATAACATGGTGTAAGGGGCAGGACAGGGCACAAGGCAGGTTTTCTGATCCCATGCAGATCGGGTAAAGGAGGAGTCAGAGTCCTCAGTAGTTTTGCAGGTTTTTTATTTGGGGTTCACCAGGCATATGGCAGGCAGGGGTGCTGGCTGGGGGACTGGGAGGCTGGCAGGCCTCCCAGCCCCCAGCAAGTCTTCACTCTATCTGGGCTCTCTAGCGTTCGTTCTGCTGCTTCTCGGCTTCTCTTTCGGGTTCTGCTGCTGCTGGCTGGGGCTGCTCGCGTCCCCCCCGTGACGCCGCCCTTAAAAGCACAGTCTTAGCTCAGCTGAATCCCATCTACCTATGCCCACACCCTACTCCAGGTGCCCACCATCAGGCATGCATTCAGGACAAGGATCCATCATCTATCCTGATGGCGGAAGGGCAGAAAAGCCTGATATTTTCTTTACCCTACAGTCCACCCCCTCAGGGTTTTCTGCCATACAGTCTATACATATATACACAATTTTCTAAGCAAACAAACAATGCAGCCATGGCCCACAAAAGCAAATACATCAAATAACAAAATACAACATAACAAAATACAACAGAACACAAATAAGTCCAGGCAGGGCACCAACCAAGTGCAAAAGACAATTATTGGTACCAGCAGATGAGCCACCAAATCTGCTGCCGAAGGCACTGCTCATACGAGGGAGGGGAAATCACACACGGCATCTGCTATAACACACCAGGAGCCGTCAGGCTTCCTGGCCTTCTCTGGCTGTAGTCTCGGCTACAAGTCACACACAGCATCCACCCCCAGGATGCACTAGCTCTGGGATTGGCAATTTTATTCTGTTGGGGGTAATCGCCAACCCTCAGGGTTTCTGTCTGCAGTCGCTCCAACACTCGGCCTTCATGGCCACCCATGCGACTCACAGACCCCTGCTCTCAAGCCAACCCACTGCACAAGCACATGGGTTGGGGATCCAAACTTTGCATTTGGCTTGGGCTCCACCCCAAGCCACATTCCCCACCCGTCCCACAAGGACGGGCTCCTCAGCTCCTCACCCTCACTCAAGAATGAGCAGGGCATCACCCATAGGTGATTTTACGAGACTCACAGGGCTTCAGCATACCCAGGCTGCTTAACAGCCGCTTTAGGGCTTCTCAACTTAGCATCAGTACCAGCTTTTGCCACCTTAGTTGGCTTTTCTCCTCCACCTGGCCACTGGGCATACACAGGCTGCTTTTGGCCATCTAGGCCCACTGGCCACCCCCAGATTCTCAAAAAATAAACATAACCTGCTAAGGTCCTCCGCCTTCTGGCGGGATTGTCAGTCCAAAATCATCAGTTCATCAGTCTATCAGTCCATTGGCCTCTCCCTGCTTCAGCAATGGCCTGCTGCCTCAGGGGTCATTGGCTGGTCCTTTCCGGTGTCGTTGGCTGGTCCTATCCGGTGTCGT